GAGCAGCGGCAGCGAAGCGGGGAGAGGGCGGCAGAGCAGGGCAGAGCAGGGCAGAGCAGGGCAGAGAGCAGCGGCAGGGAAGCGGGGAGAGGGCAGCGAGAATCACCAGCACGGAAGGTAACTGTCCAACGTTCTTCAAGTCTGCCCAGGAACTGTCGAAGATTCTGAGCCCTCTCGTAGTTTGAAACAGTTAGCAAGCGTTGGAAAGGTGTTAGGACATATTAACACCAAATAGAGACTCTTGATTGAGGTGTTAGGAATTTAAAAATTAATGAAAAAGCAAATAGCTTTTTCGCTTTTCGCTTTACGATTCAGGGAATTTAATGTTGTGGTTCAACACACACTTAACACCGCCTCTCTCCCCGCGGGAAACAGACACGTAGATAGCACCCCTCACCCCGGTGTTGCCCACCTGGGGGGACTCACCGGCTCACCGCAGCATTGGTGGAGGGCTGCCGCTGGGGATGGAGGGCAGGGAGGTGTCCACCTCCAGCCTGCCGCAGAGGCAGGTGGAGGCGGAGGCTGGGCCCTGGAGACCAGGGAAAGCCTCCGAGCAGAGGGGCGCAGGTGCTGGCAGGTGGCGATGCGCACCAAGGTGCTGTCGGCAGGGGTGGGTGGCACACCGGGGTGTCCCTACACCTTCACAGCCCCCTCCCCCGGATGATTGATGTTTCGTGGATTCCGTCCCCCACCCTTTTTGCTTTTGCTCCACGCGCCTTTCACAGGCGGCTACCATCTATTAGACAATTACAGCAGAGATTCAGGGAGTGCCTGGGCTTGCCAGTGACCCCACATCTCTGTCTGAGCTCCCGCTGCCTCCTGGACATCGCTGCTGGACGTCCCGCAGCTGATGTGGACTCTGCACGTCCAGAAGTGGCCTCATCACCCTCGTGCCTTAGCATCGCCTCATTCTCAGCGAAGGACGTAACCACCTGCTCAGTTGTCCAGTCTGGAAACATGGCCCCACGCTGGAGTCCTCCCTCTCCTTTGTCACCATGTCCATGGGTCAGCGTTCCAGTGAGCCCCCTCCTTGAAAGTTATCAAGTTCCCCACTTGTCCTCACTCCTGACCCAGGCCACCATCATCTCTCACATGGAGTTTGGTGAAAGCCTTCAGCTGGTCTCCCTGCCCACACACCCTTCCAGAGCGGGTCCCAGTTCTGTCCCTTGCTGAGACCTTCAGGACTATACCTGCCTCTGCAGCATGGGTCAAGCCCACCTCCTGGGCCTGGCTTTCAGCGTCAAGACCCACCTGCTCTTCCCCTGGGATCACCAGGAACCTAAGGCACCCAACCCCATTCCCACTCAGTGGCCAACCTTTTGCAGGAATCTTGGTTCAGGAGATGTTTGGGATGCTGGAGAGCAAGTAGATAAGAGCCGTGGCCAGGAACCCTACACCCCACACCCGGACCGGCCCCTGTGACCAGCCCAACCATAGAGAATTTCAAAGTGGCCACTCCATCCTGCCAACTTACAAACTCCCTACCCGTGATAGTCCTACAGTCAGAGAGGGCTGGGTTTCAATCCAGATGATACTACTATCTAGCAGTGTAGACCAGTTGCTTGATCCCTCTGAAGCAGTTTGCTCATCTGTAAAATGGGGGCTACCTCACTACCTTACAAGGTTGTTAGGAGGCCTGGGAGATAATACCTGTGAATACTAGTGTCTGAGGTCTGATCCCCTGGAAGCAGAACCTGGGATGAGCGTCCACATGTAGGTCATTTATCAAGGAAAGGCCCCAGGGGAGAGTGGTAAGGGAACTGGGAAGCAGGACAGAGAAGGAGGGAGGCAAGTAAGGGGGCAATGTCAGGCCAGGGCCCAGGGAGGCAGCTGCGGTCTTGACCCCGGGGTGGGGGTTGAGGTAGGCGTTGGGAGCTCTGCAGCTGGATCACATCAAGGGTTGTCTGAGTTGGACCCCTAGGGCAGGGCCACTGGTCAGCTGCTGGTTAACTACAGCACAGAGGGAAATGTAAGTTTCCAGGCATTTTCTGAATGAAGATGGCACAACAGAGACAAGCTGCCCAGGGACAATCCTCCAAGGAGAGAAACACTTTAAAAGAAGAGGTACAAGAGGGTTGGGTGGAGCACCATCGTCCGGCGTGACTTGGCATATGATATATGCCTAGTAACTAACTGTTGCTCCTTTTTGTGACTATGGTTGCTACTATTAGCATAACAACAACACTGTTATTAATATTGTTATTAATTTTCTTGGCTTGAGTGGGCTGAAACTTTCAGACAGATGCTCCAAGCCCAGTGGGCAGACAGAGAAATAAATCTGATGTGAAAAAGAAACATAACCCCAGCCAGGCATCTGAGAATCTGGTGCCTGTTTCTCCGTGGTTAACTTACTTCCTGAGCATCCCAACCCCTACGCCCATCTCATCTCCCATCCCATCTGAGAGAGCTGAGCTGGGCCCTGCTGCCAGGGGAGGTGTGGAGGCAGAGGCTTGGCTCAGGGCCCACGCAGACAGGATGAGAGTACCCCCTAGGGGTGTGGGGGTGGTGCAGGGGAGGCAGCTGAGTCAGAGCCACCATGGTGAGGGGTGTCTTCCACCCACCAGCGGGGGCAACAGCAGCTGGAGGTGAAGGCTGTTAGGAGGGAGAGGTGGCCTGGCTTGCCCTGTGTCTCCTGCCTCCCTCCCTGCTGCCTGGTGGGCCTTGGGCCAATGAAGGGCCCGGGAGGCTGCGAGAGTGCGGTGCCAGGGGGTGTTTTAACAACATCCAGGCTGCCAAGTGCGTATTATTCTCTTACAGAAATCCAAGGGATTGCCCAGGAGCTGTGGCATTTTTGTAGCAATAAACAAACAAACAAACAAATAAATAAGAAACGGAAAAGAGAAAAAGAGAAGTTCTCCAAAGCCCTAAAAGCCTTGTTGTGCTAGGGATGATAGCGGGCGTTTGAGAGCCTGCATTCTTCCTCAGGGAGCAGATAGAGACTCCGAAATTGCTGTTTGTTTGCTTTCTTCACTAAATAGTATATGTTGGATGTCCCGAGGACAGTCCAGGTGGCAGGAACAACTTGTGCGCAGGCAGAGAGGTAGGAAAGAACATGTGTGACAGTTTCAGAGAACAGAAAAGCTGAAGATCAGGACTCTTAGTTTTAAGTGACAGAAATTCTACCTGAAACTGGATTAGGCAAAGACAAGGTATGAACTGGTTCATGTGATTGAAAGAACAAATGACTGGCAGCTTTAGGCATGGCTGGATCTAGGGGCTCAAACAGAGTCATCGGACACAATCTTCCTTCGCCTCTTGGCTCTGCCTTCCTTGACAGTGGCTCTGCCCTCGAGAAGGCCCTTGCCACTTGATGACTCAGCCAGCTCCATCTTCACATCTTCCCAGCCTCAAAACTAGTGGAAAGAAAGGAATTTTCTTTCTCAATACTTTCAGTAAAAGTCCTGTGGCTGACTCTTTTTGGGTCATGTGCCCATCTCCGGCTGAGTAAGCCTGGTCCATAGTCCTTTCTCTAAAGTATGGGCCTTGCTCAAACCATATGATTAGTGTGGCTTGGAGGTAAGTCACATGGTTGTGTTCCATCTTCTTCTCTCGACTCTCAGAAATCTTATCTGCCCCAACAATTTCATTCCTCCCTTTTGACTGGGTCTCTAACTTTGACCTCACTCAAGAGCCCCTGGGCTCCATTTCCAGTCCCCACCACGTTCCTCCCATAAACAACTGTAATAATGCACAATAATTGAGCTCTCACTATATGCTAAGCACGAGCTCTTTACATTGCTGTGTCATTGAATCCTCACAACACAATACTATGAAATGGATGTTATTATGATCCCCATTTTATAGGTGAATAAACGGAGGCATAAAGAGGTTCTTCCCAGAACCAATGACTAGAGTGAAGGGGGACATGGAGCTCTGATTGGCCAGGTATGAGTCATGTGCCCAAACATAGAGCCAGGATGTGGATCAGCTGCAACTGAATGGCATAGACTGACAGAGGAAAGGGGCTCTCCAAATAAAAAGCATACAGGGAGAAGGGGGAGTAATGTGGGGTAGGAGAAACAGAAGATGCTCCCAAAACTAGGTAGCAACTGATGGTAACCCAATTTGGGAGAAAAAAGAGCTGTTGTGTCTTAGGGGTTACAAAGAAGGTTTGAACAACCAAACCACTAGGAGGCCAGGGGTGCATCTGGCCTTCAGGAATGGCTGGAACCGGGCGCTCACACTGTCAGGATGTTTGGACTCTCTCATCTGAGCCTCTCTTCCCGTCTGCTTCAGTGTTTCCAGGCTCAGATGCCCAGAGTAGGGCTTTGATTGGCCCTTTGATTCTAGGTCACATGATCACACTGGACCAATCAGCTGTGCCCAGAAGGGTGGGACCACAGCAGAACATGTTGAAACTGTGAAAGTAGCAGTGGTAGTTTTAATAAAAAGTGGAGTAGGGTAGAGGACTGATAGAAACGTAGGTGTCCTTTGGGGGCAAGCATGATGGATATATGAGTTGGGATGCTTATAGCTGCAGATAACAGAAGACATCACACTGACCAGCTTAACCACAGGGAAGCCTTCAGGGCTGGTGATCGTGTGGTCCAGTGAGGTCACCTTTCCATCGCTCTTCTCAGTAACTACAGTGTCAGCTCCATCCTAAGGGAGATGCCCTCCTGGCCATTAGGTGGCTCCCAGTGGCAGTCATCTAAGATTGGAAGAGAAAGAGAGGTTCTCACATAGCCACAGGATAGAAGTTCTTCCCTCTGATCTGAATGGGGCCCCTTACTGGTCACGTGCCCTCCTGGACCAGTAACCACCACCCCAAGTGACTTAGTGCCACAGTCCGACTGACTTAGGCTTGGATTTCTGAGCTAGTCTGGTGAGGAGTGTGGGTGGCCATGATGGCCTTACCCTAATTGGGACCCACCCTACAACTGAGGTCTATTCTAAAACGACTTGATCCCCTGACAAAAGGGCGTGGGGTGGAATGTACGCAGGAGCATCCACTCTGTGTGTCCCTCGTCTCACAGCCTCTGCCTCTGTTATGCAGGGGTCCTGTGGCTGTCGGTGGTCTCCGAGGTGCTCTACATCCTTCTGCTGGTGGTCGGCTTCAGCCTCATGTGTCTCGAGCTCTTCCACTCCAGCAATGTCATCGACGGGCTCAAGCTCAATGCCTTCGCAGCTGTCTTCACGGTGCTCTCAGGTAAGGCAGAGACCCCAGGCAGGAGCAAGAACATGCCATAACTAACCCTGTGCTTAGAGCAGGGGGAAAGTGGGCACTGGAGCCACCCTTGGGCTAAATCCTGGTCGTTCCATCCTGATAACCTTGGGCCAATCACTCCTTTTCTCTGAGCCTCAGTGTTACAATTTGTAGAATGGGATTTGTCCTCTCACTTACTCACTCGTTCAGCACGTGTTTATCAAGTGTCTATCATGTGCCAGGCACTCTGCTGTATTGGAGTAGTGAACAGAAGCAGACAGTTCCAGTGCTCGTGGAGCTTAACAGGTGTGGCAGAGAGAGGTGGATTATCTTGACTGTATTCAGGAGATGCATGCCCGACGGCTTGGTGATGGATTGGATCTGTGGCACGAGGGAGAGGGAGGTAGCTGTGAGAATGGGCAGGCGGTAGTGTCTTTCACGGGGATATGAGAGGAGAGCCTGTGTGGGATGGAGGGCGCTCCTCTGCTTTAGTGTATTTGCCTTTGAGACATCTACATGGAGATGCGCAGCAGGAAGCTGGATCAACCAGCTCATCTGGAAGCTCAGCAGTGAGTGTGAGGTGGGCAGAGATTGTGTCAAAGGCCACCAAACCAAGGATTTTGAGGGTTTCAGGGAGGTGCAGATGGAGGACTCCAAGAAGCATTAAGAGGACTCCTAAGCCATTGGATTAGGTGTTCAGGTGCCCAGAGTAATTTCAACAGATTCAGTTCGTAAGGGGTTAAGCAGGAGTGTGCCAGAAGGGAATAAAAGGAGCCTATAAACTATAACTTTAGGCGGCCTGACAGACAGAGTGGTGGCTTGGCTGTGTAAGACATCTGTTCCTAAAAAGCCAAATGCAAATTGAATTTCTATAAATCTAATCCTGTTCTCCATGCATTGGAAGAACTCTCTAATGAAACCAAAACGCTGAGCCTTTTCGTAAGGGAAGTAATCGCCCCCTAATCGAGGTCTGTGTATATAACAGAGGGAACCCTCAAAGACAAGAGAGCCGAATTCAAGAAATTACAGCACATTTCACACATCAAAACATGCGTGACTCGTTATTCCCAGAATGCGGGGAATCTAACCATGATAGTAAAAAAAAAAGGAAAGGAAAGGAAAGAAAAATACAGTGATCTCCACGGCACGACGTCAGTCATGGCTTCAGCTCTCCCCACTCCCAGCTATGACAGAGAGAGCCTGTTTATCTTCTTTCTTCCTTTCTTTCTTTCTTTCTTTCTTTCTTTCTTTCTTTCTTTCTTTCTTTCTTTCTTTCTTTCTTTCTTTCTTTCTTTCT